TGCGAGGAATCAATACTGGAATGACCAAGCCCTAAATGTTGCAGTCTAGTCGAATCAACAGAAGTCGTCAGCTCTCCACCTGCCACTATACCTCCAGTCAAGTAATACAGGTTATTTCTCCTGACGCCCTTCATCAAAATACGAGAGTCTCTCGCAATCTCGAGAACCATGTCATCAACACGAACCTTCAGACCCTCTCCAACCAAAGCTCCAATCGAGATCAAGTTCTTCCTCAAAGAAGGAACATATCTCACATCGTTTAACTCTCTAACAGTCCCGTCAAACATCTTTATGCGAATTCTTCCTATCCCAAGGATCTGGAGAACCATGTCCTTAACACGAACCTTCAGACCCTCTCCAACCAAAGCTCCAATCGAGATCAAGTTCTTCCTCAAAGAAGGAACATATCTCACATCATTTAGCTCCCTAACAGTCCCGTCAAACATTTTTATGTGAATTATTCCTATCCCAAGGATCTGGCATGCACGATTATCAGCCATGTACACCACACCACTATCCACCAGCTTCTCAAAACTGGAGAACCATTCCCTTCTAGGGCACACATGATAGGTCGCACCACTATCTAACATCCATTCAGATTCCTCCGAATAGCTATCTGTAAGACTGATAGAAAGCGAATAAATAGAAGAGTCAGAATTATTACCATCCGATACGATGTTTGCTTCTGATGATGGTTGCTTCCCTTTTCTCTTCTGCTTATTCTTCATCCATTCGTCGAGCTTTGGGCAGTCTTTCTTCCAATGACCAGTCTCCTTGCACCAAGCACACTGATCTTTTCCTACTCTAGACTGTGACTTCCAATTCTTTCGGTTTGGACCCTTCCCTCTTGCGACCAACGCCTCCGCTACCGGCTCAACTGAAGCCTCCTTATCCTTCTTTCGAAGCTGATAATTCACAAGTGCAGCGGTGACCTCACTATACGAAAGTGATGCCTTCCCATTAATCAGAGTAAGAACGAAGGTCTCATATTCCTCGTCGGGCAAGGAACTCAACAACAGCAACGCCTTGTCCTCATCTTCAATCTTGACATCCACATTCGCCAAATCCGCAAGAAGCTTTGTGTAGTGGTTCATGTGATCTCTAATGGAGGTTCCCTTCTTCAACTGGAAACGATAAAGTCTCCTCTTCAAATGCAAGCGATTTTCCACACTCTTGGTCAAATACTTGCTTTCGAGAATCTCCCAAATCTTCTTCGCAGAAGTCTCATTCATCACATCATATTTTAGATCTTGAGTCAAACAAGACCTAATCACACCACACGCCGTTCGATTCATCTTTTTCCAAACCTTCTCTTCAATCTCATCTGGCTTGCCATCTAACTCCAAGGTATCCTCCAAATTCTGCGCGTTCAGCGCATCCAAAACCTCGCATCTCCATAATCCAAAATTATTTGTGCCATTAAACTTCTCCACATCTATCTTCATAGAGTGGATATTCAAACTCTGAATGGTCTTCGCGCCAGAAGAACCACCCTCGACACCCGAAGCACCTTCTTTCCCCGATATCTTATGCACCAACGAACAAAGAATAGATCCAAAACTGAAAGATAGAGTCTTTACCAAAAGATCCCATCTTTATCACCAAACGAAGCCCTAGACGAGCCTCCAAATTGATCTACTCCTCTAAATAGCCCAAGCGTAGCCCGAGCTCTGATACCACTTGTTGTGCGCAGCGGAAATTTCGGCAGAGTTTCTAAACGAGTCGGTGAGTGATGAGAGAAGAAAACCAAACCAAATCAAGAGTGCAATTCACCAAAATACGACACAAATCAAACCAAACACAATCTTCCTCTCGTCAGCTCTAGGACTGCGCGTCGAGGGATCCTAAAAACTATTACAATGGCCACAAACTCAAACAACTAATTTTACGTGGTTCGGCAAACTGCCTACGTCCACGGGGCAAGGAGGGGGATCTACTAATAGAGTGAAAGAGAATACAAATAGGGTTTACAATCTCTCAATCTAAACCCTCACACAATCTCTCAAACCCCTCACACAATTATCTCTCTCAAAAAGGGGATGTACAGAACCCTAGAACAACTGCACAAAAAACCCCACAAATCCCTAGAAGAGATAGCCGGTTTTTCTTCTCTGCACTTCTGCCGCAGCCACCCCCTCAAATGCACCATCCGAAAACCTAGAAGAACTAGGTATTTATAGCTGTAAAATATGTTTCGGGTGGGCCTGCTAAAGTGCGGATTTGTCTCCATTCACGTGGTTTCTTCATGTGTCCTCACGCGCTTTGATCACGAGACTCGGTTGTTGGTCCCCCCCAACATCTCGTGTTCACATAGAAAACCCAGTTGTGTTAGTGGATTTCTTCCTGGGAGTGGGGAGCGGAGACGTAGGACGGAAGGTCCGAACTCCGTGATCATTTGATTGTGTTTGAGTGTGCTTTGGCGTTCATTTATATTTGTGCTCATTGCTCATATCGCCTTTGACGTCTCATTATCTAGCTTGTCCACTACATTGTTTACGTTTGTTTATGTTACCCTTGTGTTTATATATCCCTGCATATATTTCATCATATACCTCTTTGCTAGGATATATCTCTTTGAACATATTGCATATTCTTGCTCATATCATATTGTATATCTATCTTGCAAAAATAACTTGTTAATTAATTTTAATTGGCATAAATCGGATTAGATTAGCATAAGACCCTAATCACCCCCCTTCTAGGGTCTAACAGTTTATTCTGGGGCCTTGACACATTTTTTCTAATAAATTAACAAATTTAAACAATGGAGAGTAATATTTTAAAAAAATTATGGCAGGGGAGATCGAGGGGAAATAATTATTTCCTTGAAACGAACAAAAGAGAGGGCCTATCTACATATTTCACCTAATCTCCCGCCTTTCCTGAAGTCTAGCGGGATTCTGTCATCGCCGCAGGGACAAATTTGTCTTTTCGAGCCCTTACCTATTTATCAATCCGTCACATTTCCGCACACCCTCTCTCTCTCTCTCTCTTCCCAAATCCCTCGACTCGAATACGCGAGGGGGGCAAAGGAGATACCATCACTAACAACTAATAAGGAAACGAAACCCTAATCCGATTGCATCGTCCGATTCGCTAGGGTTTTGAAGATTCGAGAAGCCCTGATATTTCTTCGTCCATCCGTTCCCCGATGGAAAGGGGGGAGCTTGAACGGAGAAAGCTCTTGGATCGATGGCGGATGATTCAGGAAGAGCTCGAGGACGACGACCCGTCGCCGATCAAGCACCAGAGGCTCCGCAGGGCGAAGGAGCAATGGTTTGATTCTGATCCCCCTCTCCCTTTGCTTCGCTGTGATGTTAATTTACGACATTTTTTGATCTTTTTCATTCCAGTACTTAGTGCACTTTTTTTGTGGCGAATTTTGAGAGATTGTTGCTGATAATACTCACATTAGACTGCTTATTGCGGTGCCGCTTTGTTGGAGTCCATATAGTACCACATTGATGATTGACTAAATGGGGAGCCGGTTGTGGGTTTATAAGAGTTTGAGCTCTCCTAGGCCTCGAAGAAATGGCATAAGACCCAATCCCACCTTTCCGGTTGCAAGCGAGCTTGTGGGTGGTGACTCTGCATTGCGACGTTTGCCCTGTGACTAGTCCACTGCAAAGCCAGGGGGGTGACAACAGGATTGCACCGGGATTGCGGAAGTGAGATGTTATGTTAGCTCCATTTGGTCCCACATTGATTTAAAGGGGTGTCATTGCAGATTTACGAGGGATTTGAGTTCCCTCCCTCTATGGCTAGTTTTCAGTGGCAAATTCTCCTTGGTCTCTTATATTACCTTGTAAAATTGTCAGGACTTCTATTGTTTGTCAATTGGGTCAGCTATGGAATTTATTGTCCATAGAACTCATAATGGGGCTACCAGTGTTTAACCTTTTACATCTTATAGTATAATATAATCAGTTCCTTTATTCGTTATAGTTCTAATTCATGCTTTCTAAATTTTCTACTATTGTTTTTTTTTCGGTGGAAAGCTTTGTGGTCAATGAATTGAGAATGAGATTGTTTTTTGGTAAAAGTTTTGGTAAAAGATATAACTAACTTTATTCTGTTCATAAGTTAACCATAAGTTAAAGATTTGCTTCAGTAATCTTGTAACGTGCTGTTCCTTTTATTCAAATAAAATTTACATCAAATTGAGAAAACGATTGGTCCTATTGCTGTTCTGATGTGATAACGGAATGATCGTCACATAATTAATTATTAGAATTTTGTTATGCCACATATGTTGTGTGCAATATAGATTTCATTAGTGTAGCTTTTGTTGGGTGCAACCAGATAGCCTTGAGGCCAAACTTAAGAACAAATGAAATTTAATTCATTCAAATACTATAGTTGAAAATTTGGTTACATTTATCAGTCGGATTAAAATCAGTACAACTTTTTGTAAAAAAAAAACAAAGTATTTTTAAGTTGTGAATTGCTAATACATGAATACGTCCAAAAACTGTGATTCATGTGAAGAACCAAGAAAAGAAGAATAAGGTTGACATAAGCTTGCTTAATATGTCAGGAGCATCTGAGAAATGAATTGGTTATAAGAACTCCCCATAGGAAAAGAACAGAAGAAAAATATTTTGACAGATCCTTAATCACATTATTAGATGACTCTTATGTACTTATAAGAGTTATCTAATCTTAGGCCAGCCCCGTATCCTTTACTTGCCCAATAGGGATTACAATCTCCATTTTCTTAAGATATGGATGGTTATGGAATTGAGCAATAACTGAACTTCTGTTAGATATCTGAAATTCCGATAGATATTGAATATATATGAACAAATTGTATTATTGACAATTTACTTAAATTATGTTGGATCTAACATTTATTATTGTTAGCTTTCATAAAAGTTGTGAAGCCTACAAGACATCACGGGTAGAGAGAAACGTGAATCTGGATGTTTCATTTAGATGTCTTTGAGCTCTGTGCTTACCTGTTCTGTAATTATAAGCTATATAGTTATCCTTCCTTTTTTAATTCCTTTCAGTTTTTGGTTGATTTGCCAACTGATGATCATATTTGGTGCGGCTTTTCGGGTGTAATGGGACCCCTGCTGGAGACCTTCCACAGCTATTTCGACGACAAGCATATCGACTCACCTCTCAAACTCATATGGAAGAGAGTTTCTCGGGAAATGGGACAGTGTGCACAGTGTATATGCCAGCACCATCAAGCTCAGGAGGGTTACAATGCTGAATACGAATCAGATACCATAGATCCTCTTCTCAAAGTGCTGCAATGCCTTGATGAAGAAAGGGTAACTGATCATCTGAAAGAAATAAATGCATGGCTTAGGCGGAGAGAATATGACCCTGAATGTCACAGTGCAGAAGTTGTTAGTGTAATGTTTGAAGTAGGTCATCATTTCCTGAGCTTTTAATGTAACTCTTTAGTCTTCACTAGTTGACTTTCTTTATATTTAAGATCCTATTCTGCTTGAATAACTTTGGGAGACATCAAGCTCACGTCATTTCAAAAATAAATAATTTGGTAGAAGATGTTGGGACTAATATGATTAGGAATTTCACTATTATTAATTAATTTAACGCATTGAATTTCATGTTTCATGTTATCTTTAACAGTTAGTTTCCTCTTTATTACTTGTTTCTTTGTCTATTTTATCATCATCTGAGCATTTTACTTTGCCCATCAAATTAGAGTTAGGTATTGGTGCAAGGAACACACTCTACAAATATACTAAATGCAATAAAAAAAGTACATGAATGATTATGCAGTGTCCTAGCTTAAGTAGACAGATGCATAAGTTTCCTAGAGTCTGTGGATGCTTTACATAAGATTCCCAAAAATATGTTCTAAAAATTAATATGCAAATATAAATGAGATGACAAATAAACACAGAAGAACCATAGGCAATTGTGACTTGTGAGTTAATAATCATTGATTACACTAAGTATAGAAACATAAATAAGCTCATTCAAAACAACTAAACCTGACAAATAGACTCAAGTCCAAAACTAAACCAAAACAACTAATCTCAATCAACTAGACTCAAATAAGATGACCAAGCCTAAATTAAATTAACTCTCCTTTCTCCAATATCCTGTAGAATAGGTCTCCACGTCATGATCCCATGAACTATCCATGTGCACTATCTTCTCGACTTTCGCTTGTTTATTATCATGTCTGATGGTCAGACATGCCAAATGCTGCTTCCATCATTACTAGTTCTTCCCCTCTCTTAGTTTAGAGCAATTGGGAGCTTGATCCCATTTTGTTGTTTGGGTTATATTGTGCCCTAAAGCAAACTATGATTGAATTTCTGAAGCAAATCATATTGTCTACATCTCTGTCTAAAATATTCACTGCCCAGGGGAATTTTGAAACTTATTCTTTTTTAATGAGATAAAAACTGCATGCCCTTAGCTCTCTTGTTGATGTTCTTTGTTGTAATTCTCTTGTGGACTTACATTTCCCAGGAATTTGGGAGTAATCCACAGGGTTTTGATGGTCAAGTTGACAATAAGTCATGAAAGTTAGTTTGTTCTTGTGCCGAGATGTTTTGACCTTGAGCTGTGCTCCATGATTAACCCCATTTTGATGGGAAAATGGCTTATAATGGTGCTTTGATGTAGTTTAGATTCCTAGTGTATACTCTCAGCATGTTATTTATTTAGTTCATCTTCTGGAAATGACCTCATAAAATTACATTTCTAACTCTTTTTGCTCATATTATTAGGACTAAGATTTGAATATTCTTACTCATAACAGGTATTGATGTTTCCTACGTTGTTAGATGACCAACTTTTGGTAAACGAGTTTCAATTCTTCATTGAAGAAATTGAGAAATCTCATGATGTGAATCTTGCTGGAAGTCAACAGTATCCAGTAAATCTTTTTCTTATTCTGCTGCATATTAGTCTGACTACAGTCATTGTTGATATTGCTTTCTCATGAGTGTTGTTTGTAAATTTTATAGGGAGTATATGCTTTACTCTTTTTTAAGAGTGGAAGGGCGCGTGCAATTGGGCTTCGTTTAGCTGGATACATGGGGAAGCTGAGGTAATTTTTTTCCCTTCCACATTTCATGTGCAGCTAAATTATTGCTGTGCTGAATGAATAAATATTTTGTTCAAGGGTCTTACTCAAGCTGAACATAGACTACAGAAAACTGTTCTTGATTTTCCCCTATTCATACTCCTATTCTGTATGGTGGCCTCTTATGCGTCGAGGAAAATGAGCCTCATACTGTCAACTCTGTGCTATATCTATAAAAGCATGATATCCTGTCAATTTTGTGCAGTTGTTCAAATTTAGAACCACCATACTGATTTATTGAGTCTAAATCACTTGAGAAATCATGTGAGCTTAAATATATGATGTAATTAAGAACCACTGCTTCACTTTCCACCATCATTTAGAGAGGCGATCCAGCACTTATTTTTGGCTGTACGTCAGACAGTTATTCATGCTGTCTTATAGGTCCCGTGAGGTTAACTGCATTATAATTTGAGAATCTGAAGGCATATTCTATCAGATAATGAAAAGAATGCATGCTCTATCTTAAATCTAAGAATCTGAAGCATACAAAAAACTACAATCCTCAATCTTAAGCTCCACATTCCAGTGCATATCCCAAAAAAATCTATGTTATATATTTATAATAAAAGAAACTCATAAATTTTATAATTTAAAATTTCTTCACTGTTTCAAGTAATTTTCAGACCTAAATAAGCAATCTAGATTATATCAGAAACTTGAGAATGGAACTCCCACCAAGTCCCACCTGAAAAATCCTGGTCCCAGTTCGACATTATTACATTTCACACTAATTAAACTTCACATCAGACTACAATAACAAGCCATCACAAGCATAGTACAACCAGCTTCTGGTCTGACATGTAATTTGTAACACCTATTAATTTAACCAGAGTATTCCATTTCTTTATAAACTTTGTTACTGTAACACCAAGATCCTAACTCCTAAGTGACCAACATCGATCTCTATCTTTGAGCTCATTCCAATGGAAATTAACATTTCTTTTTTCACCATGACTATCCATGAAATAAGAGTTGTCTGTTCTACATGTGGCCTGATGAAATATTATGGCCAATGGAATTTGATATTTTTTGTAGGTGACATATTAATGTAGTTGGATAATATAATTTGACCATGTTCATGTTTCCTGCCCTATACTAACATCGATGGCTCTTGGTTAAATTGGCAAGTCATATCTGTGTCCTTGTTAGTAACATGGCATTTTCTCTTCCTATGATTCACTATTGTAGGATGTGGTAGACCAACTTTCATCCGATGTTCAGCTTATGGTAGGATCAAGCACTCCAATGTAGCAACTCCTCCACGTCTATTGAAGAAAATTGATTGAAAATCTTGATAGCGTAGTGGAAAAAAAATTTATAGCTGAATAAGAGGGAAAACAAAGAAACTATTGGATTTGTCTGTTAGAGTTGGTATGGACAGCTGAGGAACAAAGTGAGGCTATAATAAGTACATACTATGATAGCTTCCTCCTTCGTTATCCCCATCAGTTTTTTCTTGGATGATTTTATGTCAGAAACAAAATTTTGTGATTGATGTAATCTCTAAAAAATGATTGCTTTAGAAATTAAAAATGAACAAGAAAAAAGATAACAGACATAAGAAAAGCCAAGAAGATTTCTTTCTTTCTATTTTTTTGTTTGGGGGGGGGGGGGG